ACAGAAGAAAAAGCAAAAACCTTTTGCTTTGTTCATGTTGATATGTTTACTACTAATAATTTTCTCCAGCACAGAAAGTAAGGAAATGTTTCTCAGTCGTTAACGTAGAAATGTGAAAAAGCAAATTGAAAACACGGCTTCACGTTAAATTATGTTTTGAAATAAAGGTGTTAGTGTGCGCATTTTTTGTTGTTATTTCAAAAAAAGGAAAAAAAAAAGATTGGTTTTATCGAGTCAGTAATAATCTTCCGTTGTTTTTTTTTTTTCCTCGTTCAAAGTTCATGTGTCAATCCAGAAATAAAACATGTTTACTTCCTACATCAGGCCTTAAGCCGACCAGCTGCACTGACGATGAAGACCAACATCTATTGCGTCCACATTCGTCTTGTATTTCCTGCAGTAAGATCAGGCACTTGATAAGAAAAAGCCCCAGGGCAAATCACGAAACATCACCACCACGTGCACAGTGTTAGGTTGTTCCCCCTCTTCCAGTGACACTCTTTTCATCGAATTCTGTGGACTGCATCATCTCTAAGAAAATTGATGTCTCCAAGTTGACTGGACGTTTATTTCTGTATTTAGACTTTGCCGTCAGTTGGTGTTTCCATGGGGAAAGACAGACCACCATTACCACCGATTTTTTCCCAATCACCTCATACATAAACCCGAGAACATCTGCGGTATGGTAGCTGAGAAACTTCTCAACTGTTGCGACGTTAAGATTTACAAGCTCCCCCCTCCCTCCCCCTCACAGTTTATTTCTCTTCAACTTCATTGAGATAGTGAAAATAATTTCAAGCCGAAATGTATTTACGAAAACTATAATTTGGAAAGTTGAGTGAAGAAATTATATAGTAGTTTGATAATAATAATAATAAAAAAACAAGTTTTATTCTTATTTCGATGACACCGCTCCCGACACTAAAAACAATAAAATACGAATAGGCATTTTAGTTATGAATATATAACTAAGCCAAAAATCTTTACTGCGGATAATATAGTTTGTTTGTAATTAAGCACAAAGCTACACAATGGGCTATCTGTGCTCTGCCCACCACGGGTATCGAAACCCGGATTCTAGCGTTGTAAGTCCGCAGACATACCGCTGTGCCACTGGGGGGGGCGGGTGGGTGGGGAGGATAATATAGAGAATTGAAGACTTATTACCAGGGGAGATTTTCTACACCTTTTTATTACCAGAGGGGGAAGGTCTTATAATCTTGAGAACACAGAGTTGGTTATTGTAACAATTTCGAAATGTTGTTATTATGTTTTGTACCACAGATGACTCAAATATAGGATCAAGTTTTATCAATATCTTTCAATCACGTTTTGAAATATTTAGGTCATAGATAGATAAACAGCAACAAACTTAAACTCGTGATTTTGCAACCACTAAATTCTGTGCCATGAGTTCTAGCGAAACTCACCCCAGTGTGAGAGAGAGTGAGAATAAGCACTTGTTTCTTGGAATAAAAAAAAAATTATACATTTTTACTGTTCTGTATCATCCAGTTAACGTGCGGTTTCCATGTCGGTTAAGAAGAGCTAGTAATATGATTCTTTTGTGTATATTTTGTGTTTTAATGAAAGTACCTTTGGCAAGTTTGAACGTGAACATGTATGTAATTTTGTCATCAAGTAAACATAAATATTTATCTAAAACATAATTCTACAACTATGTGTCACGGCGGTTATGAACACATTATTAGTGGTATATGCGATGAAATTCGGTTTACTTCTGATAACATATGTACAGGTAATATCTGGTGCATGCAATTCGATGGTATGTGTTGTTTTACGAATGGTATAAATATGATTCTACAAGTATGTGTCACAGGGGCTATGATACGTGATTAGTGATATATATGTGAGGATGTTCAGCTTCTGATAACATATGTACACGTAATGTCTGGTACATGCAATTGGACAGTATGTGTTGTTTTACGAATGGCGAATATTTAATTCTACAACTATGTGTCACGGGGTTATGACACAGGATTAGTGATGATGAGGTTTAGTTTACTTCCGATAACACATGTACACGTCGTGTCTGGTGACCACAAATTGAATGTATGTGTTGGTTCACCAATGGCATAAATGGATAGTACTTGGCTGCGGACTGCTTCCCTCTGGCTGAAAAACATTCGCTTGTGACTGGTGAGTTTCATGTTACACGTATATGAAGTGTGTTGTTGATGCTATGTGTATGGTATACATTGGGGTGTATTACGATACACGACTTGCAGAAACTTAAAATTTGTGTCGCTCTTGGTACTTGTTATAATAATGGTAACTTCCACAATATTTTAATGCTGGTAATTGTTATATTTGTCTAGAACTTTTGCGCAATGTCATACGATTGAGAGTGACACTTAGGAAAGTGTTTAGTTCTAATAATTGCTATATTTTATATTAACCCGTGTTATATATATATATATATTTTTAACCCGTGTTACTGTTTTATGAGTTGTAAATGTTGTAGACATTTATATATCATGATTAGCTATTATTTTTATGTATCTGGTAACTCTCAAATATTGTGTGAAGTACCTGGTAATTTATGGTATTATCCATATAATTTTAGTCTTTCCATTTAAAAGTGCATGTTCATGTCACGTACATCTCGGATTATCGAGGTGTCTTATCGAGGTGTTTATGTGGTAAATGATGTATTGATTATGTGTCTTGTTGGTGTTTTTAATATAAGAATATAGCTGGCAATAGTTTGGGAAGTGATTTTGTGGGGGTTGTGCTACAGGAATACTGCGATAATATTGTTGCGTCATCGAGATCACATGACTACAGTGACGCCACGTTTCTAGAACTATCCCGTATCGTCGGAACGAAGTTACGAAAAAGTAGTACGTATCAACAATACAGAAAACATAGATATTATTGCGTGTGTGTACTTTAGTGTGCATTAACAATCCATAATATACATATTTATTTACTTAGTAAGTATCAACAATACAGAAACATAGATATATTTGCGTGTGTGTACTTTAGAGGGTATCAACAATACAGAAACATAGATATATTTGCGTGTGTGTACTTTAGAGGGTATTAACAATCCAGAATATATATATATATATATATTTAGTAAGTATCAACAATACAGAAAACATAGATATATTTGCGTGTGTGTACTTTATTGTGTATTAACAATCCAGAATATATATATATATGTCTGCATATGTGTGTGTGCATTAATAATCCAGCAAATACATACAGTATATGCGTATTTTGCCGGATATTAACATTCTCCAATAAAGGTGTACCACGAAGATGTTGCACTGTATTATATTGTTACGTCTCCGTTTGTTAATTGAGTTTCTAGTTATTCGTATTTCATTATTTACTGTTAAAATACTTCTTCATCATCATTTTAATATACATCCATATAATCGTGTTACCCTTCCCTTTTTTCATATTCAAGCATAACATATTGAGACCACGTAAAATATTTTGATTACTAGGATTAGATTACAACAATTATGTATCACTAACGTTGTTGTCTGGTGCTCAGTCTTGTGTGAAAACTATCATAAAACCTGAGTTGTGTGAAACCTGTCTCTCTCTCTGTATATATATATAAATATCTTGGTTTATTTTTTTATTACAAAAATATGTGATTGTAGATTTTATTAAATACAATGCAGCCTGGCGTACGGAACTTCTATAAAAACAAAAGAGAGATCTAACTGGTACGATAATATCAGATACTGTTTTTCTCCCTATGTTTTTTATCAGTGAACCTACAGATACGGCAACGCCCTTATCATAATATGTAGTTTTACAATGAGGGGGAGGAAGGGTCTTAATTGGTTCGGTTAAGTATATCGAAATGGTGTGATAAGAATACTTGAAAAGTCAAAGTCAATCTTTTTTTTCTCTCTCTAATACCGTACTTCCATTGACCTTAACCTTTCATTTCAACATTGGCCATATTACTTACGAAAGTTGTATTTCAAAAATGGTCACTCTTTTTCTTAGTCGGCAGCACTGTCTAATCTAGATTACTGCATGTTCTACTGTAACAATAGTTTGGTTTGACGTCGCCCATGCCCCCTCGTGAGAGGAGAAAAAAAAAAGGAAATCGCACTTAACTATTACTATTAGCTAGCTCGCCCTACAGCAGAAACAGTAAAGTTATCACCAAGGTCACACCAAAGAAAAACTATATATATAATGGCAGCAGCATCGAAAAGAATTACACTTTTGCGTTACAAAACTTCAAGAAGCCAAAACAGAAATGGAAGCAGCTCTATTAAAACACCACACGTGGTTTGAGAGGGCGAACGAAAGTGACACCTAATTCCGTGTTTCAACTGTTTAATACGTTGATACTGGATTACAATTACTTGCAGTTAGTCAGCAGATTAGCATAGTTTCTCCACGAAGGAACGAAATAGTAGTTCACTCGCTGATCCGGCTAGCGCGCGCCATCAGGTCTGACAAAACATATACACGTCTAAGAGCAGTCTATATGAAAGGATGCTGGCTTTAAGTTATCTTTAATTTGTATCCGTGTGAGCTTCTAAAAAGTTTGGACGCTTAGCTTGTTTATTTGAATTCTTAATCACTGTGCCTGAAGGTGTAAAGTGTTTGTTTTGAAGTTAGGCACAAAGCTATACAATGAGCCATCTGTGCTCTGGTCACCACGGGTATCGAAACCCGGTTTCTAGCGTTGAAAGTTCGCAGACATGCTGCTGTGCCACTGGGGGGCGGAAGGTGTAAAACTACTTAATGGATTATTTGATATTACATGGCGTTAAAAAAAAGGAGCGTAACAAAGCAAGTCTCGTAACAGGTGGGAATGGAATATATGTGAAAACGTAATGCTACGAAACGAAAATTCTTCACGTCCTGACCTCAGAAATTAATAATACATCTAAAAACTTGGAAAAGTGTGTGTGTGTGTTTTCAAGTTTGAACATTACTACACTTCAGTTGTTATATATAACTATATAGATATATATACATAGTTTTATACTTACTACAGGTTAACGAAGGACCAATTTCTGTGATACTTTTACGTTGGCCTGTTACTCCTTCAATCAAGTACCCGAACACCGCACTGATTTGAAATATTACTGTAGCACTTACTAACCAAATAAAACTTAAACTTCTGTGTAAGAAAAAGGTGACGTGATTTAAATTTTTAAATTTACCTAGGATGCTTGTCCAGTCCTTAGGCTAGAAATCTATTAACTACGCGGGGCACGCGCGTTTCAGCCTAGAAGTTACTCTTCGTAACACGGCAGTAAGCTCTTACTTTCTAAGAAATGTTTCTTGAAAAGAATGATCTCACACTGTTGTCTGACTAAACACTAGCAAGTACACCCATTCAAACTTGGGACACCCAGCTGTGGATAGCCCACTACATTGGTACGTATACCCTACTGAACATTGTGTGTGAAGTCGAGGTGATTAGACCCTTACGTTAAGTGGAAAGTCTTACGTCAACCAATAACGAGAGGAAAAAGATCAAATAGGACGAGTCTATATATGTCAATAAGGGAGAGAAACAAGCTACTTATAAACGAAAAACAAATGTTATTTATGATATACGTTTTTATAAGACCGAGTAAGTTCAGAATAACTTTTGTTTCATATACACAACACTATCTCAACGTGCTGCCCCCTACTGGCACAGTGATGAGTCTGAAGGCGTATGACGCTAAAAACCGGGTTTCAATACCCGCGATGGGAACAGCACAGATAGTATGTATATTCAAGCTGTATCCAAACTTTATTTTCTAAAAGTGGGTTCCTCGTCATCAAATTCAAATATAGCTAATTTTGTAGCTTTATGCTTAACTACAGACAAACTCAACGTGCTAGCACTAAAGTCTGTGATGCAAAAATCCAAGTATATTTAAAAACCATGAAACAAACTGAAATTAAAGTAGTATTCTTGAAAGGGGGGGGGGGTATTAGCCTCAAAACTTATGAAATATGTAAATATACAGTAAAAAGAAATTTAATGAAACTTTTGTTTTCACAATTTGATTGATTTGTTTGTTTTGTAATTAAGCACAAAGCTACACAATGGGCTATCTGTGCTCTGTCCACTATGGATATCGAAACCGGGATTCGAGCGTTGAATTTTCTCTCCCGAGTTTAAGGAATGTTTAAAACTCTGCTAAATGAAATCTATTCAGTAGTACGCGGGATTAATAAACCAGGATTGAGAATTTAGATCGAATTTATAGACGTTACGTATTAAACGTAATGCACATTGAAAACAGCTTTTATGTGTAAGAAAGTGTGAATAAACCTATTAAAATTAACCTTGACATTAATCTCAGAAACAGCATTGTAGTAAATCGTTCCTCACTCAATAATGTTTGTTTCCTTATACATAAAAGGTGACGTATCTGTGTATAAGCATAATACAAAGTCTTCATAATTTTCATTACGCAGTAAATTTGATACAATTTATGGTCCCCATATATTAATTATTTCAAATTACATTTCTATAAGAAAAAAGGCCCCAAGAAAAACCTTAAACATCTAACATGCGACGGTTTATTTGCAATACTGTAATCTTGGAATATTATATAACTTCTGTGTCGGCCTGGTATGGCCAGGTGGTCAGGGCACTCGACTCGCAATCTGGGGTTCGCGGATTCGAGTCCCTGTCCCACCGAACATGATATGCTCGCCCTTTCAGCCGTGGGGGCATTATAATGTGCGGTCAATCCCACTATTCGTTGGTAAAAAATAGCCCAAGGGTTGGCGGTGGGTGTTGATGACTAGCTGCCTTCCATCTAGGCTTTCACTGCTAAATTACGGAGGGCTAGCGCAGACAGCCCTCGTGTAGCTTTGCGCGAAATTCAAAACAAACAAACTTCAGTGACACAATAGTAACAAAGTGAATTAGGTTCGCCGTCCAATGTAGTCATAGTAACTCCTAATTTTTGACTGGACGTTAACCATAATGAAATGACAAATTTCCTTGATACGAAAAACAGGGTCAGAAATTAACTTTTCAACTTTTGACTAATTTCACGGAATATGCAGCTGGGCTACCATAACATAAATTTAGGTAGCCATACTCCAATGTTGGTAGTCTGTTATTGCAGTTCTAAATGAAATGTTTCACTATGCATACTCATTGTCTATTACCACTTATGATACAAGTGGCAACAGACACGCCGAAAAAAAACCAATTAGAGAACGATGCAAAATTACAACCGACCAATGAAAGTAAGGAAACAGTTCTGGTTATATACTGATACATAAGTATCATAGATGTGTTTCAGTTTCTACAATTTGTGGGTCTATTGAACTCTTAGCCTTATATATAATATTTAGCCTGCAATGAGCGCACACAACGCACAAATTAGCAAGGACCAGTTGCAGCGCTATCATTTGGTTTAAAACTAATCTAACATTGGCGATACTTGAAGGTCAATTAATATTGATGAAGCATAACAGCGATCAGTAAAAAAAATATCCAAAAGAAGCTTTAAAAACTTTTCTGGTTCAATTGATCTTGTAATAAGTACACAAATTGAAGGATCATAAGTCCTTCATTTTTATCTAGACTTTTTCAAGTCATTACAACTTCAATACTCAACTGTTCATTGAAATCCACGAAACTGTTTTCTAGTCGTTTCTTTGCAGACAACAAAAAAAAAAGACTTTACGATTGCCCTGCACATCTAATGTTATTAATTAAATAATTTTGTCTCACTTATAAACTAATGAAATTTGTTGAATTTAAAGAAATCTCTTGACTGACGAAGATTAAAATTTTTTATTCGTTGAAAGACCGATTAAACTATTTCCTGGATTAAACCACTTCCTGGAAAATCCTTTAATGAAACTTTATTAGTAAGAAGCTTCTTCTACGTTATGACTAACTTTAAAGGAAGTTTGATCAGTCACACATTCACCTCAGACGCACGAGCGTGGCAACGGAATTTCCTCTTTTAGCTCTGACCGATTTTTGTCATAACTAATATTAACTTTCGATCAAACCGAGCCACCTATGATAAAGAATGGTGTAGGTCGCATAAAAAAAAATCACTGTATAGTAAGTAAGATTGTGATCAGTGGCAACTTGCGTGATTGGCGTCAGAATATTTGTTCCTCCAAATGTATTTATTTCCTTGGCTTCGTGTGAATAGCAAGACGGCGTGCATACGCATCATTCATTTGTATTAAGGTAGTGTAGCAAGAAAAAATATTAAAATGGCTATCAAATTCTTAAAGATGACAAAATTAATAAAGTAAGTGGCTTTAGGATCCCTTCGGGGCATGTCCAGGAACCCTGAAAGTTTCATGGTGTTCAGAGTTCGGAATGTTCATCACGGACAAACAGACAGACATACACATACAAGCCGATTTATATTATAGAAGGCTTTTACGACTGATGCACACAAGCGATTTAATAGTTTGAAATGTAATCCAAGTAAAAAACATAGTAATGTTTGTTTTTGTTTATATCGTTTTACTATTTTAACAAAGAAAAGCTTCATTAGGAACCATGTCAGGTAGCTTCACGGTTCATTAGGCGCCATATTAGATGGCTTCAATCTTCATTAGAGCCATGTCAAATAGCTTCAAGCTTCACTAGAAGCCATGTTAGATAACTCCAAGCTTCATCGGACACCATGTCAGATAGCTTCATGCTTCATTAGGAGCCATGACAGGTAGCCTCAAGCTTCATGAGGCGCTCTGTCAGATAACTTAAAGCTTCATTAGGCACTACGTCAGATAGATTGAAGCTTTATTAGGCGCCATATCAGATAGCTTCAAGCTTCATTAGACACAATGTCAGATAGCTTCAAGCTTCGTTAGGCACTATGTCAGATAACTTCAACCTTCATTAGGCGTCATGTAATATAGCTTCAAGCTTCATTGGCCGCCATGTCATATAGCTTCTGTCAAATTTGTAGCATCTTCTTCTGTCTGACCTTTTTGCTCCGTATACAAAACCCAAGACCGTTTGCTCCTACACAAAACAACTTACGCATCAGCAAGTTGCAAAGCGCAACCCACAATATAGGCACACATTCATCATAACGAACAACACACCCTCGGTTGTATAAACCTGAATGGAATATATTGTAGACAGGTCAAATTACCCATCCACGAGGATTTTTAAAACCTAACTAACACTTCTATCGTAAATAGGGATTTTTGTACATTTCACCACGGAATCAGGTTCATCTCTCCTCGTTAGGTTTTAAAGATTAACGAAGAACAACAACTTTGACGGGTGCAGCTCACGAGATAAGTATAATGATCACAGCCAGTGACAGTCGCCTGAAAGAATGGTCCTCAACGTTCCAAACGTGTAGATGAAGATTGAAGTAGTATTATTATGGTATACCATTCTTCCCAGAAAGAATGTGTGGGAAGTATCTCGCATTATTTACTGTACACAAAATATACAACAAAGAAATGTGAAAAACACTATTAAATTATTTAATTGTTTAAAAGTACTATTTTGTTTACGTGTATTTAGCGAACGATGCATACACAGGAACACTAAAAATACAAATCATGTCATATGATGGTATTACTGATGTTACACATCTTCCAAGTCATGAGACATCTTTTATGACATTAATTAAACATGCTTCATTTTAGTATACCAAACGCCTGCAAAATAAAAGCTAATTTCATATGAAATTTGCGCTTCTGAGCACAGTTGATGTGAACGTTTTTACTAACATCAAATTCTGGTCAAGAGTTTACTGTAATACAGCCAAACATCAAATTCTGGTCAAGAGTTTACTGTAATACAGCCAAACATCAAATTCTGGTCAAGAGTTTATTATAATACAGCCAAACATCAAATTCTGGTCAAGAGTTTACTATAGTACAGCCAAAGATCAAATTCTGGTCAAGAGTTTACTATAATACAGCCAAAGATCAAATTCTGATCAAGAGTTGTAAGATTCCAAACTTAGAGGAACAAGTGGTGATGGACTGATTGTGTTACATTAGATATAGTAGTTCATTTACTCTACAAACACTTATTAGACAATGATTATTAATACAGTGTTTTCTCACGTTAACTTAAATCGTGTTGAAACCTTAACTTTTTCTTAAAAACACAAATATTGTGCCTCAAAGGTAATCAATTCACAGATATATATATTTTGACTGTCAACGAGGCTACTTAGGATATCATGTAACTGACATAATAAACGCAGATAGCCAAAAAAAGTTAAAAACTATAGCTAGTTGCCCAAATAGCCTAACGGTATTTCATTTCTAATTAAAGTAAGGTGAAAGCATATGTCATGTGTTTTTCATGTACAACGCTTGAACATAAGCAAGCACAAATTCCAAACAAAGCTGAAATAAATTGAATTTGAATATTCCAGTGGGTTTGTTTGCAGT